GAATAAAACTACCTTAATGCAGTTTCGGGAAAGAGAATAATAAACATTAATTAAATCTTCAATCCCAACTTTTAAAGCTTAGAGCTCTTTAAGTATCTCTGTTAATCTGAAACTATTTTTTGGTTCATTGCTAACTTTTAAAATATCAATACAATCATTGTGATTTAGAGTTTTTTGTTTTTTGTTTTTTTTTGTCTAGATAGTGCTCATGTTTTTTGTCTTTATACCAAAGAATTAAGGCAAGAAAGTTTTTCCTTTTCCACAGAGAGAGAAATATATATCCATTTTAAAATTTGGAGATTATAGCCACTGCAAATCACCCTACCAATAGGAAATTAAGGCTGCTGTGATTTTCCTTTATATTTAAACCATAACATAAGATTAGCAGTATAATTACCTACAAATGTTGAATTTACAAGCTTTGGGCTTAAGTCACAGGACATAAATATTGCCATTTCTGTCTATACTTCAATTCCAGTTAATAAGACACTGTTTCACAATAACCTTTGTTAAGTTTGAAGATGAAGTCAGAAAACACCACACAAAGCTGAAACTGGATGACTCCGCTACAAGGAAATGATGCTTGAGGGGTCAAGGTCAAGAACAGTCTGCTGGTGTCTGGCGAGTGCCATGCAGCGAGATGCGCAGGCCACACTCCAGGCAGCGTGACACGTGTCTGGGCGCCCTCAGTGCTCCACAGGCCTGGCCCACTCCAGCCAAAGGCAAGATGCCTGGCTTTGCAAGAACTGCCAGGCACCAGTTAGGGAACATCCTGTTTGCTACAACATTCTTCTCTACAGCAAGCCCTCTAGATATGTGAATGAGAAAAATCACATAACTTGGCCTGCAAAAGATTTCCAATACATCATTTCCTAGCACAAATGTGGACCGATCATTGCAGTATACATACATCCACCAGTGTTAGCACCATATTTAAGCCTGAACTGAGGTAAAGATAAACTCTCCAACAGCTTTAGAAATTACAGTAGCAATTTTGAACGGGGTGTTTACAGTAGCCTTTCTGATCATTAAAATAAGTTGTCTGAACAACCATTTGATCACAATTATGTATGTGCAGGTATATGTCAAAACTGATAAATTATAAAGCTAAGTGTAGAGGCTTTTGGCAGGAGAAATGAAGCAAACTCTCATTTTTGAAATTCAAACTGTCCTTATTGGGTTGATAAAGTCAAAGATTTTGATAAAATACACCAGGCTGATATCAATAGGCCGTTTTATCAAATGGCAACGCCCAGAAGTTCTATTTTTCAGAGCATGGTCAAGTTTACTACAGATGCCACCCACTCAACATCCGGCTCCTACGTGAAGCAGACCAGCTGCTAGTCTGCCCCTCGTCTGTTGCTCCATTTAATGAAAAGATGAGTAGCTCCTCTCTTACCCAACTATTTTAGGTAGAGAAACCTCTCTGGAACTTGTACTTACCATTTACATAAAGGAACAGAGAGAGAAAGACCCTCAAACTTGGTTAAAATTTTGAAGTATGTTTCAGCAAATGAAACAGAGTTTAGTTGAGGGATAACTGGACAAAATGAGATAACTTTCCAAGTTAGTTCCTATAAATTTGCGAGGTGAAATAATAACATGTAAAATAAAGGACTCATGAAAACTCATAGACTGCTTCCGCCTTCACATTACACCCTTAAGAGGAATACGAAGTCTTAGATATAGCTAGTTTTGGGAAGCATAACAAAACTAATTTTTCAAAGGAAAATAATGACCATATTCAAATAAACTATCACCATGGCGTCTAACAGCACTAGATTCAACCTCTAGTTGAAGCTGATGGTGGTGCCCAGGCTGCAGCCCTGAGACCACACTGCTCAGGAAGAAGGAAAGTCATCGCTCAGTTTGACGAGGATCCTTCAAAAATATGCATCAGCAGTATTTTCATGTGACTCTCGACAGAGTCAGATGAAAACAAGTAACCTTCCCTTGTAGCCTGTAGAAACATTTCAGGGAAATAGCTTAAGGTTTGCACTTAACCTAAAGATTCAGCTGAATACTGCAGATCATTCTTCAGAAAACTCATGTAAACAGTCATTCTTCTTTTTTAAATCTGCTGGTGCTAAGTGCACCTACGTGAGAATATACATGGAGATCCAGCGTAGCTGGGTCCGCGAGAACGCGAGTTAACATATGAGACCCTTCAGCTCCCTGTCGGCCAGCTCATTCACTTCCATGATCTTCTCTAAGTGTTCCATGTACCGGTCACGGTCCTGCAGGAAGTGAGGGACCCTCGTGTTTTCAGTAACTGCCAACCCTTTCAGGCGATCCACGTCTTCATAAGAGACCTAAAAAAGGAAGTTGAGTCAATTTTCCATGTGACTGACTACCAGTTACATTTTGAAGAACAACTTCTTCTCTGGGTCTTAAGTAAAACTTATGTGGCTTGTTTTACTAATTACTTTAATACCTGCAAAATAACACAAATCAGTGGCTTCTACTTCTTTACTGTGTTAAATAAGAATGTATCTGCCCACTTATTCCATTAACCATACTAAAAAATTTAAAAGTCAATATTTGATTTAACAATCTATCTTGCACCTACTCAGTTTGTCTAGAAATTATACAAGTAAATTTAAAAAATGTGTGAGACTCTAAGCCTAAACAAATCTCTTCATGAAATCAAAGATTCAAGAAAATAGCTAAAATATATTATTAAATTAGGAAAATCATAATTATATGTTGGATTTTCTATTTTTCTATATTTCTATTTATTTATATTTTAATTTGAGAAATATAATGATTCGTTTTGTGTTAAAGTCTCACTTTTATTTTGAAGTTTTGTAAGTAGTATTTAAAATTTCCCATCTTTTCATTTGCTTGTGTAAGAACCCAATCTCTCACAGGTAGTTAGATTAAGTTTAGGGGTGAAACTTTTTAAGTTCTATAAATTATCTTTGCAACTTTAAATTCCAAAACATGGCTGACTTTAAATGGTACTGTTTTCTGATCAATATTCGTCTTGGCTCAGTAAGAAGACATTAAATCAAAAATCATGTTCATATTATATCTGTTTTTTATTACATCTGTTTTTCATTGTTTTATTTATTTTTTAGTTACTAAAGTTATTTATTTTATTGAGTATTTACACCATTACGTATAATGAAAGCGTTATTATTGTTATGGCTTAGTAATTCTTACACCATTCTTAAGTTTATTGTAGGAGAGAATGAGTAAATACATTAATGTTCTCGTTTTAAGAGAAGGGAGGTACACAGAACAGGAACAAAGCTGTAGGAGAGCCTGTGGTACTCATCTGCAGAGAATGCCCTTACAATTTAGAATGGACACACGCGATTTGCTCACTGAAAAGATCTAAAAGCACCAACGGCCAGGAGCAGTGAGCACATCTGGTGCTTAGACCTTGTTTTATAAATACCGTTTCCCACTGAAAGAAATCAAGGCTTCCCTGGAAAAATATCTACTCTCAGATTTGGGTAGGAAGAGTATAAAATGAGTTCAGAACACTGTACTTGGCCAGAAAACATGGAGACGTCCAAAAACACAGGAGCAGCCCCTGGAAGGGGTGAATGAAAAAGGATAAGGACGTAAAAGTATTAGGAAAAAGGGAAGTGCGATGTGACGGATGTCACAGACTTCAGTGTTCTCTATTTCGCCACCGCCAGATCAGTAACGGATCTGGGCAGCGATCACCAGTGGATGTTAAACCACTCCTCAAACCGCTGGTGAGGACCAGTGCAGTCACGGGCCTCACCCACGGATTACTTACTATTCGACGGGGGGCAGGCAGACACCCCACAATGGAGAGGCCTGGCAGTAACTAATTCACCCAGGTGATTGAACACACGTTACCAATAATAAAAATGACATTAAGTGTTTTCCAATGTGATGCAATGGGACATACACAACTCACTTAAGTCGAATTCCTGGCAAAAATGTTTAACCTGAAACTAATTACAAGGAAACAATCTGCTCATCTAGATTGTAGGAATTCTTAAGAAAACTGTCCTGGATTCTTAAAAATGTCATGAAAAACAAAAACTGAGATTGTGGGGGCAGGGTTATTATACTTTAAAAGAGATTAAAGATTTGAATATAAGACTTAAAACAATAAAATGCATAGAAGAAAACATAGGCACTAAACTTATGGACCTTGGTCTCAGAGCGGTTTTTGTAGACTTGACTCCAAAGGTAAGGAAACTAAAAGCAAAAATAAATGAATGGGGCTGCATCAGACTAAAAAGTTTCTGCACAGCAAAAGAAACAAAAAAAAAAAGGTGATCAACCAAATGGGAGAAGATATTTGCAAACAATAACTCCAATAAAGGGCTAATATCCAAAATATATAAAGAACTCATATGACTCAACAACAACAAAAAAGAACACTTTGATTAAAAAATAGGCAGAAGACCTGAAAAGACACTTTTCTAAGGAAGACATAAGGGTGGCCAAGAGATATATGAAAAGATGCTCAACATTCCTAGTTCTAAGGGAAATGCAAATCAGAACCACAATGAGACAGCACCTCCCACCTGACAGAATGAGTATTATCAATAAGACAAGAAATAACAAGTATTGGGGAGGAACCCGCATACACTGCTGGTGGGAATGTAAACTGGTGCAGCCATCATGGAAACGTCTGGAGGTTCCTCACAAAATTAACAGAGCTATCATATGCCCAGCAATTCCTTTTCTGACTCGTAATGTAAAATCCCCAACATTTAAAAACATTTATTCAAAAAGATACATGTATCCTTATATCCAATACAATATTATTCGCAATAGCCAAGATATGGAAACAACCTAAGTCTCCTTTGACAGATGACTGGATAAAGAAGATGTACGTATATACAATGGAATCTACTCAGCCTTAGAGAAAGGTGCTAAGTGAAATAAGCCAGATGGAAAAGGACGAGAACCATACGATTTCACTCCTGGGTGGGATATATAACAGAACGCGACAAACAAAACAAACTCACAGACAGCAGAAGGGCGGTTACCAGAGGGGAAGGGCGTTTAGGGGAGGATGGAGAGGGTCACAGGCCATATATGGCGACGGAAGGAGACCTGACTTCGGGTGGTGAGCCCACGACGGAGTACGCAGATGGTACACTGTGAAGTTGTGCGCGTGAAATTTGTATGTTATTAGCCAATGTTACCCAATACATTTCATTTAAAAAACGATTTAAAATAAAGTGGAACTGGACCAAAAAATGAGAAACTCACATGGTCATGTCAGAGAATACCCTTGTTCTTGGGAGACACATGCTGATGTGTTAAGGGGGGAAGTATCTACAGCGTACTTTAAAATGCTTTAGAAAAAAAGATGTAAAAATGAAAATAAAACTACATAATATATTCCCAGATTTCCTATTTCCTTCTTTATCTCTTACTGTCCTCAAAGACATTTGTTTCCATGACAGAACCATGTTTCTTCCCTCCCGTTATCATACACAGGAAACTTATTCCCACAATGAAGTAAAAACGGTTTGACCCCAAGTCATATTGAATCAGAGAGCTGAGCTGGAGGACACGGCGCCCGGGGGGCGTGGGGCCTGTGCCACGGGCTTCACTCACCTTCCCCAGGGCGGTCAGCAGGTGGAAGTCGATGGTGTCTCTGTATCGGAGGATTTGCAGGATGCCATCCAAGTACACCTGGTCTTTACTGAAGCACCCTGCAGGAACCAGAAGAAGTTTACTTTCTGATGTTTAAAAAAATTACCAAGTAATTAGAGTCTAACCTGAATACTCCCTTTACCGCAAGAGTCTAGTCTGTATTAAAAAGACTGACACTTGCCATGTCTGTTTTTATTTAACTGCTATAGACTCGTAACGTAAAATGTCAGATCTCGGGAAGGGCCAGAATAACGTGGGGACTAGAAGCTCCCCTGTTAGACTCTCCTCCCAGACCCCACTCCCCACAATTAAGATAGCATTTTTCCTAATTATGAAGAAACACCAGTAATTTAAATATATGACTCTTATAAATAATTATTCCACTCTCCCCCCACCCTCTGATCATAACCTTAACTCCCATGATGCAGTGGAGGGGAGGCTGGGGGAGGGCAGTAACAGAGCAGCTGGGTTTTCAGGGGGCGACGTGCAGACACAGGATTCCAGAAGCCTCTAGTTTTGTAAAAAACAAATACCACTTACCCCATTAAAAATAACTGATTTTGATACCATTCCTCCCTACGAAAACATGAGTTAGAACTAGATTTTAAAGAGTAAAGAGGTTTATAAATAGAAAACAATATGGACGCAGACATGGTAAGAAGAAAGGGCTTGTGAGAGCTGAGCCTACTTTAAAAAAAAGTGTTACATTTACAAAGAGAACCTTTCTCCTGTCACGACATAACTTCTGCAATTAAAAAAAAGTTTATTCTATTAAATAGACTAAAATTCTACCATATGGAGAGTCCTATATTAGGAAACTGTTAGTTTTGTTAATAGCACGGGGATTGTGAAAAGAAGTGGTCCTTATCAGAGACGCATACTGAAGTACTTACGGGTAAAAGGACGTGGTGTCTGGGACTGGCTTTAAGATACTAGAGGAAAACAACTTGGAAGAACAGATGAGCCAGTTAGAAATGCCGGTAATTACTGAGGCTGAGTAATACTTAATGAGGGTTCAGTACATTAATCACTCTTCTTTTTATACATTTGAAATTTTCAGCAATAAATTTTTTTTTAAAGTATGTAAAAAAAAAAAAAGACTAGTCTAAAAATGACATGTGTCCATGGGTGTCAAGGGCAGCACGGAAGCTCCGTGCATCTAGAACACAGACAAGCAGACGTGAAGAGAAGGGGCGGGGCAGACGCACTCGTGACCTGAAGCAGCCTGGAGGGGGGCTGCACACAGGAAAGATGGGGACACGTGTTCCTCCTCCCTGCTCCCTGTCTCGCCTGGTCCTGGCTCCCAGGCGCATGCTCCCAGACACCTCCACCACAGGGATAAACTGTTACGGGGCGCTGGGCGGGCGACATAACCCTCACAGACTGGGGCAGGTATTTCGAAGCTCTACATAAATAGGTTTAAATACATTTAGAAGAAAATTTGTTAATATATTGAATTACTCTCAAAGACAAGTGATTTTTAAATGAGCATCCCCTAATTCCTAGCCTTTTTCAAAGGCATTTTTGTATTGCCTGATATAATCCACTTATTTTGTAAAAACAAAAAAAACAAAAACTTTGGGGGCAATCTGAAGTCTTAAAGCTGCTGACAACAGCTTTTACCCTTTCTATCGGAACAGCATGTATACTTAGAGACAGACTGCTTGTGAAGATCAGCATGCGGTGTGCCTGTACTCCTTACCTCCGTTTTCTTTAGACAAATCAAAAAAACGATAATAAAAAAGGGCCAGAAATCCCTAGTGATATTAATAGATTCAGGCGAGGATCACAGATGGATTCTAAAACCATTAGATGAAATGCTGGGAAACAGGATATCTGCACAGTATCTATCACCTCACAGATCACTTATTAATTAAAATGGGGAAAAGGAAAATGTCCTTTGACAAGGGACGGTGCTCACAATCCCCACCTTAAAAGAATGGAAGTTAGCATCTCCTGTGGTGAGAAGGCTCGTACAATATCACTTATGTAATGTCCGTGTTAAAAACATTTCCCTGAATCTAATCATGAGGGAACAAACACATCCAGATTGTAGACATTCTACAAGAGCAGTGGCCTGGACTTTTTAAAAAAGTCAGTATCTAGTCTACGGCCATGCCACTCTGAACAAGCCCGATCCCGTCTGATCTCGGAAGCTAAGCAGGGTCGTGCCTGGTTAGTACTTGGATGGGAGGCCACCTGGGAAGACCAGGTACTGTAGGTGTTGGAAAAAGAAAAGGGGGATTGTAAGCTGACAAGGTCCTTGCAATCTGTGAGGTCAACCAAGGGTTGCCTCACCTAAAAAAAAATTAAAAAAAAAAAAAAAAAAAAGCCAGTATCCTGACAAAAAAGGTGAAGAAGACTGCTCCATATTAAAAGAGGCTAAAGAAACACAGCCACCAAAAGTAATGCATAAACCCTGACTGGATCTAGATTTTTTTACACAGGTATAAAGGAAATTTTTGGAACAGCTGGGGAAATCGAAATACTATGTGTGTATTAGCTGACATTGCTGAACTAAAGCTCACTTTCTTAAGTGTGACAATGATACTGTATTAGGTAGATGCATGCTCAAATTTTCAGAAATGAAATGTCAAGTGTACAAATTACTTTCTAAAAGCCACAGGAAGTGAAAAGACAACTGACAGAAGTAGAGAAAATATTTGTAAATGATATATCTAGATCTGCATCTAGAATGTACAAAGAATTCCTACAACTCAAAAAGAAAAACAAAACAAGAGTTGAGAAAGATGAGCAACCGGAACCCTCACACACTGCCCGTGGGAATGTGAAACGCTGCAGTCACTTTGGAAAACAGTTTGGGTACCAGTTTTTTTTTTTGGTGTGATGAAAACATTCTAGAATTAGGTAGCAGAGATGGGTGCACAACTATGAATACTCCACAAACCACTGACCTGTTCATTGTAAATGGGTGAATTCTATGTCACGTGAATTAGAGCATAATAAAGCTATTTTTAAACTCAGAGAGAGAAAGAAAAAAATGGCAAAATGTTAACAATTGGCGAATCTATAGGAAGGGCATATGAGTGTTCATTCCATCATTATTCCTATATTTCTGTGGGTTTAACATTTTTCAAAATGAGATAGGAAAAAAATAAAGCTAATGAACGTGGCTTGGGAAAAGCAACGCTGACCTCAAGTAACAAAGGTTTACTTTCTCATAGGTGAGTGAATTCTCTGATTGGTGGATTAGGACGTAACCCACCCAGTGGGCCGGAAAACTTGCAGTCGAGAGACGCCCACCTGGCTGGGAGGTGTCGGTCCATCCTCTCTTGGCGCGTACGCAGTAATCCCATCTGGTACCGGGGTCCTTGACGAACTTTCCAATGTCTCTGAAGAGTTCGCAGAAAGACATCTGGCTGGCGCGATAGACAGTGTAGTAGAGGAGGGCAGCCCTCCACAGAAAGGGGTCTTTTCGAAACAGGACGCTGTGAAGACTTGCCAGCCCTTCCTCCGTGGGATTGTTTGGCTTCAGCTCGTGCTTTTTACGGCCGGTCCAGCTGTTCCACGGCTGCTGAAGGTTGTTAATACCACGAAAATAATGAGTGCCTAAGGAGAAGAAGGGCACGTGGAAAACAAGAAATGCCATTCTCCCAAAAGAGCCTGCCGACAGTTCCAAAACCAAATCGATGCACTCCTACAGAGCGAAACAAAGCAGGAGCTGACCTGACTCTGAAGCCTTTCGGTGTGAAGGCGCACACTGCCTGCAGGAGGCACACAGGTCTCAGCAGGGGAGGTATAACTTTTATTGCAATTTATTTTTTTTAAAGAGAATCAAAGACTTGATATCTGAAAAGAATCTCAGAGATCACTTGATTCAATTCCTTCAGTTTAAGGCCAGGAAACTCAAATCCCCAGGGGTAAATGACTTTCTAAGCTTAACACAGCTACACATTGCCCTCAAATATAACTTGAAACAAGACATTAATCATCCAAGCTTTAGTTTAAGTGAAACCTAACAACTTCGTTACTTTTTGCCAGATACTCTAAGAAAACTCCCCTTATAAAAGGACGTTTCTTTGACGCTAACCTTGGAGGTTAGGAATGAACAGACGGGGAGGGGCTGGCCCTACCTATTTCGTGCCTCAGCATCCCTTCCAGCCAGTGCTCCCGTGCAGTGGAGACGTTGATGGTCAGCGTCGGGCAGCCATTAACTACCGTCATCGAAGCTCGTGAAAGGAGGTCCTCCGTGAGGTGAACGACAATCTACGGAGCAACAGGAGAAACGCAGGCACAGGTAAAACAAAATGTAAAGGCAGAGGGGAAAAGGCTTTCACAGAAAACAATGGACCCGTAATGAACACCTTTTCTTTCATTTACACCACCGGGAATCTCCTAGAAACCAAGCAGATGAAATGCAGAGCCAGTCTCTGCTGACCCTTCCAATTCTGAGCCTTTGGGAACTTAGAAGCTTTCGGTAATGGAAGGAAAGGAGCCGACGCTGAGGGAGACACGGAGGACGGGAGCTGCGCCTCCGCTGCGCTCGCACGTACAGTCCCCGGGCCAAAATGATGCAAAGGGACACGCAGGAGCCAGAGCCCATTCGCTGCTGGGCCGGTTCTCATTTCGAGACTGAATACTGGGGTAAATCTCTTCGTGAACAATTTTCGTACAATAATTCATATAACACCACAAGGCATGCAGAAATGGTAGAAAGGAAAAAACAACGATGCAACAGAAAACTACTGGTATTTAGTGAGACATCTGGAATGACTAACGAGCTAACTACGGTTGGAAAAACAAAACCTGTAGCAAAAACCGCATGGCACTGACTGGGCTAAAACGCCGAGATCAGCCGCCCGGGCTCGCTCACGATCCGTACCTCACCCATGCAGCCTTCTTTCACCATGTACCTCCTGACGTGACTCCAGATGCGCGTTTTAGATAGCAGGCTGCCCCCGGTGGCCTGTTCGAATTTTTCATAACTTCCATATTTCTGTAAAGTCAGTTCCATAATATTGATGGACTGTAAAAGAAACAGATAATGAAAGTGAACAGCTTCCAGGTACTTGGAGGCGAGAGCGAAGCCCGCTGCGTCCTTGCTCATCGGGACCTGTTTGTGGTTACTGGTTTCCGAAGGACACTGCAACTGAGGCGCCACATCTTCCTAATCCTCAACAGCGGTCACTCGTTTTCACAAGGATGCACAAAACTTGCGTGGTCACAGGGACCGTTCTCCTTCCCACGTTTCGAACACACGCAGGGCTAAGGACTGCGAATGCCGACGACATCCAACTGGCAGAGCAGTTAAGGCAGAGGCACCCCGGCTTCTCTAAGACCCTTCGGTGGTTTAGCAGGACTAGCAGTGGGAGGTACGTCACAAGACCGTAATTACCATCTGGATAAAGAAAACCATACCCCCTCCCCCACCACCAATTTTTTAGGACACACACAAGCATCGACCGTTCTTCTGTGACAGTCTGACAAAGTGTGACGTTGCCCTGGGCCACTCTGTGGTAGAAAACATCATCTCAACATTACTAATGACAGCCGGGGCAGGGCACCATCTATTTTTCATTATTCATAAATTTTCGCATAAAAAGAATATGAAAGTGGAGATCTTTTTCTCTAAACACAAATATGCAGAAAACTAAAAAAACAAAACAAAACAAAAAACTGATAATGAATCACAGATGATCAGTATCTATGAGAATAAAATAAAGAAATAAAAACAAAAGGAAGAAAAATGTTCTCCAAAGGTCTTTTGGGGAAGAAACTAGAAAATTCAAATATATCTTATATGAATTGTGAAATAAGCTAGAAAGTTCGGATATGCGTTATGTAAATTTACAGTTCCTGAAATGTTGTCAGATGGATAGAGATTGAAAGTACGAGCTCTAAATCAGACTGCCTGAGGCGACATCCTAGCTCTGCCACCTTCTAGTTGTGTGACCATGTGCAAGTCACTGGATTTGTTACTAAGCCTTCTTATTTGTAAATGAGTAAAAAAAATAATGTCTACTTCATGTTTTTGTTGAGAAAATTTAGTCGACCTTTGTAAAGCATAGTCCGAGACATAACAGTCAGTATACAATTATTATATCATCTGTTATCACTCTATAAATACCATCACTGTAGATAACATGTCCAACAGCAAAACTAAAGAAAAGCTCACATATTACAAGTTATAATTCAACATATATATCTCTTTTGGAAAAATATATATTATCAGTACACTAGGCATATATTTTAAAGTTATCATAACAAGAAATGGCTTCAAAAGGCTTTCCTGGCTTCAGTTCCCAAAAATGTTATTGAAAACTTTGCTATTCAAAGTGCAGTCCAAAGGCGCCAGCATCTCGTGGAAGCTACAGAAATTTAACTCCCCCATGCCTACTGAATCAAAATCTGCATTTTAACAAGATCACCAGGTGACTCATGTGCACAGTGGAGTGAGAAGGGCCTCTGGGAATGGGAATAGAGCACAAATACCCCAGAGACCAATTTATTTATATGACAAATAGAATAATTAAAAGAACAAATGAGCACATAATTAAAAACCCATTTTATCAGATTAGCAAAGGTGTTTTGCATACACCAATCTAATAGTCACTAGTCATCAATATATCAGAGTGAAAAGAACGTGAGAAATCTTCTTCCAGAAGAAACAGAATTGGTACCCTCTATATCGAACTGACATTTAGACCTAAAAAAAGTTAAAGAAATTTTTTATTATAACCTGTGCTTCTAGGTTTTTAGAAGGATGTACTTAATCTCAGATAAAATTAACTCTTCTAGCACATGCTTACTCAGTGGGAAGACGTGGCTATCAGGTTAGGACAGTCACGCGCTGCCTAAGAATGGGGATATCTCTGAGAGACTAGGATAGAGGCACGCAAACCCGGGTGGCACAGCCTGCTGCTGTAACTGTCTGTGCTACACTTTCATACGACTGGCAGTTTGTTTCCTGTTGTGACAGTACAGCTGTTTACACCAGCATCACTGCAAACACTCGTTAATGTGATGTGCTCATGACGATGGCTACACCACTAGATGGCTATGATGTTACCCGATGATGGGAAGTTCTCACTATAATTTTATGGGACGCCGTCTGACATGTGCTCCGTTGTTGACTGAAACGTTGTTAATGTAGCACGTGACAATTAGTTTTTCTTAATTCTTAATTTTCTTAATTAAGAAAAATCCAAATACAGGTGTTCCTTGTTATCATCAATAAATGGTAGAAGGTTATTAAGTATTCATAAGTATCATACTCATAATAGGAAATAATAATTTAGAAATTTATACTGAAAAAGTACCCTATACATGTAAGAATGCTTACCTTGACAGTTTATCAACATTTAGGAAAAATTTATACCTAATGAACTAATTATTAGATCCACCAAAAAATGAATAAAAGTAGTGGGTGTTTTTAAGGGGGTATAATTTTTCGTAAAAATTATGCACAGAATATATGTAATCAGATATAATAGCTATCACTTCCTTCAATTCATCTTGATTTGACGAGGCTCCATCATGATGCAACACTACCGGGGAGCTACATCAACGTTCCCAAAAGCTTATCTTAATATTACGTCATGCTCAATCTTCTTTAACATGTGTATCCTGTTGTCATCTCTACTGGGTTCTTACCAGGTTTTTGGCTGGTCCAACCATGTCAGACTTGCCAGTGATCACAGTGCTCTCTAGGATCCTTCACTGACCTCAAGAAATGACTTCCCAACCATCTGCACTAAAACAGCCCCCAGTACACAGAGAGACAGTAGCTGGATGGGTCAGGAAGTTCAAGCTTAAAGAGCACAGGAGAGGAAACTGTACTCTACCCTTCTAGGTTCTCTCGGCTGGTCTACTAATTAAATTGACATGAGACAGATTAACAAGAGAGCATAACCGAATTTAATTACTTATGTACATACAGGAACACCACATGTATGAGACCCCGCGCACACGAGGTTCGGAGACAGAAGAGGAAAATGCGGTACACGCAACATCTTAAGCTGAGGAATGAGGTAATTCATCCTGGAGATTTAGAGGGGAAGAGGGTCATTTGCAGAATTATAAGAAGAGCAGATGTTCAGTAATTAGATGTTTGCCCTGCCACACAGATTTTTTTACTACATTGTGAATTAATACATTCTCTCCGCTCATAGTCATTTCTGAATCCTTCCTCTTTAAAAAAGGATATTTTAAAGTTTTACATATCTTACAGGCATCAAAACAAATTGATTTTCAGAGAGCTCAAACCTAGAGCAAAGAGGAAACAAATGCAAAATGAACAACTGCTGTGCATGAAGG